TTCTAGCTCTTTCCTCTTTCCCTATTAACTGTATTCCCATTCCTTACTCTCCAGTTACCACATTTCCCCCACGCTTTTTTTCTTTTTGCTATTATCACATCCCTGTCTCCTCCCCACCCCCACCCCCATGTCAGTTTGAACTCAGGGCCTCACACTCTTGCTTGGCTTTTTTCCTTAAGGCTGGTACTCTACCACACCTCTATTTCTAGCCTTTTGCCAGTTAATTGAAGAGTGTCACAGACTTTTCTGCCCAGGCTGGATTCAAACTGTGATCTTCAAATCTCAGCCTCCTGGGTAGCAAGGATGACAGTTAGGAGCTACCAGCAGTGGGCCCTACTTTGCTCTCCTTTCCTTTGTACCACTCGCTTCTCTTCAGTGACCCTTGCTTCCCTTCTTCACTCCCCCATACAGGATACTTCCTATTCCAGCCTTCACCAGGATGCTTCAGGCAGACTTTCCATGATAGTATCAGTCTCTGCTCAGTTAATATCCGCTTTTCCATCCCCCCCTGGTTCTGAGATGGACATTAATTGGGGAGAGACCTTAGGGTAGGAGAAGAATGGTCAGCCCTGTGGGGAGGCGGGTATATAGCAACCCAACAGGAAAAATAGGCCCCAGGCTCAGGGCAAGGCAGACAACAATGGAGGCAGTGGAGAAGGTGGCGATGAGCGCTTGTCTGATTTTTCTAGAAATGTAGCTGGTAAGGATGGTAATATTTTGGGATCCAAAATGCGTTTGAAAAGTGAGAATAATGAGCCAAAACCCCAACAAGATGACATTTAAAAGGAATAAATATAAAATTCTACATTTAGCTTTAAAAATCACTTATGTAAGCACAGCATGGAAGAGCTCTGTTGAGAAAGAAAAAAAAAAAACTGGAGGATTTAGTTGGCCACAGGCTTTATGTAGCAATGTGATGCAACTTCCCAAAACGTTTATGTAATCATGGGCCTCTTAGTTAAAGCATCCTGAGAAGAAGCGAGAGATAGAAGCATAGATTGGGCCACAACTGGAAGATTTATCACATTCAAAGGAACATTTCAAGGATCCTCCTTGGCCACTCTGGCTCGCAATTAGGAAAGTAAAAAATTTGGGAGCCAGATGAAGTGAAGAATGATCAGGGATGTTCTGTCTGCAGGAAAGACCTAAGTTGACCTGAAGATTACTATTTTCAGATACTCAAAGGGGTGTCTAGTGGAAAGGGAATGAAAGCATAGGGTGGAAGTCCCACAGGGCAGTTTACTTTGCATAAAGAACAACCCAACTATTAGAGCCATCTCATGAAGGAATGAGATCCTTATGAGGTGGTGAGCTTTCGGTCCTGGAAAGTAACCAAATACAAGGGTAGATACCCATTGATTGTTTGGGAATGCTCTGTGGGGTGCCTTATAGTTGGAGTAGATGATCCCTTTGTCCAGGAGAGGAGGGGAAGTGTGGCTTGGCAAATGGAAGTAAAGGAACTAGGGAAGAACAGGAGTTCAGATGGGGAAATAGGCTAGACCACAGGAAGGTGGGAGCCCTAGGGGAGAAATGGAGGAAACAGGGTTGTGGGATGAAAGGGAATCCTGGGGCTCGGACCCCCCCCCCTTGACCTGTGTTTCCTTTCCCCAGGAATGACATGCCAAGCTCGGAGCTCCTACCTGGTGGACGAGGTGCTGTGGGGCCACCGCTTCACATCAGTGCTAACCCTGGAAGATGGCTTCTATGAGGTGGACTATGCCAGCTTCCATGAGACCTTTGAGGTGCCCACACCTTCATGCAGCGCCCGGGAGCTGGCAGAGGCTGCAGCCCGTCTTGACGCCCATCTCTACTGGTCCATCCCCAGCAGGCTGGATGAGAAGGTGGAGGAGGAGGGGGCAGGGGAGGGGGCAGGTGGGGATGCTGAGGCTGACAAGGAGCAGAATGGCCGCCTGCCACCCCCAGAGAGTGAGTCCAAGGTGTGACCAGCTTCGTCCAGACCCTTGTGGCAGGTACATGGGCAGCTGGACAGTGGAGGTGGAAGAGGAAGAGTCAGGCAAGGGAATATGTTCAAGTTGGAGAGGCCCTTTGAATCTAAGATCCAGTAGGGAAGGGAAGGGTCCTGATTTCAGGAGAATGGAGGGTGGGAATAGATGAACTTGCCAATCCATCTGACCTTCACACCTCTTAAGGGGTGAAAGGATCCATGAAAGGATGGGTTTATGAGGACAGGATGGAAAGGTGGAGCAGAAAGAAACACTAGATGGACAGATGAATGGACCAATGGACAGTTTAATGCACTCAAGTGCTGCCACTACCCATAGCACACCTCTGTGCAAATTCTAAATTGGCATCTGGCATCCTTTCCCCACAACTCCAAACCAGGGTGCATGGCTTGGTGAACAGTGTGAGGGTTTGATTGCAGTCCCTGCCTACCTCCTCAGCTAGGCTACCTGCGTGTGGCACACCTGTCTCCCTGGACACAGTGGCCCAAGAAGGGAGAGAGCAGGTGAGGTGAAGGTGAGTACAGAGCTCCTTCCTCCCACCGACAGCTAAGCAGGGAGATAAAGGGTTCAGGAGAGCTCAGCAGAGTGCCCATGGCCTTTGTCCTCCCTGCATAGGGAAACAGACAGTGGGGACAGATGCTGGACTGGGGCCCTGGAACAGGGCCTGGAAAGGAGACCCAGAGATGGCTGTTTTGTGACAGCAAAGAGAAAGGCTCATGAAGCTGAAGAAAGGCCAGGGGAGCACTCTACAAAGCAAGTTCAGGGGAGTAAAGGCGCTGAGAAAAACAGTTTGTCTTTAGGGCAAGGGTTGGGAGTTAACAGAACCATTGATTGGATGCCAGGTACAGTACGCATCCCAAGACCTGGTTCCATCACCGCAACACAGTGCACTAGGGAAGAACAGGATCGCTGACAACAAAATGTAGCTGGCACAGTTCACACTAAGAACCCATGCAATCTGGGATGGGGGTGAAGCAGCTAGTAAGGATTGAGTAAGGCAGAGGGAATGGTGAGAGCCAGAGGTTGGAAAACATCAGCATCACCTGGAGGGCTTGTTAAAAACCAAGTGCTGGGCCCCACTCCCAGGTTTCTGACTCAATAGGTATGGGATACAAACAAAAACTTTACATGACTAACAAGTTTCTAGGTCATGCTGACACTGCTGGGCGAGGACCACACTCTGACGGAGTGTAGAGACTGAGACATATTTGGAGAGAAGGTGGAGATCCTCAGAGAGCAGAGAGAAATGTGAAAGGGGAATAGAGAATGTATGGGACAGGCGACATGAGTCTAGGCCGAAGAGTTTTAACTGTGGGTCTAAGAAACTCAGCTGTCAGTGGAAATCAGCCAGTTGCAAGGTGGTGTGCAGGAAGATGAGTGGGCAAGGAAAGTCGAGATAGTTCAGTCTTTGGGGTGATTCCTGAGGAGCCAATGGGGAGCTAGAGTGGTAAAGGCTTGAATAGCAAAGGATCAGATCGCTTGTAAGATGTGAAGAGGCAGAACCCACTATGAGAGAAAAAGGGAATCAGAATACAAGAGTATCGCTATTGGGTTAGGGGCCTCAGGAGAAGCGTTTTCTCACCCCACCTGCACCCTGTGCTGGCCTTATCCCAGGCAGCCCAGGATGAGAGCCAGACCCTCAGGGGTCCCAAGACTAACCTCCTGAAGCAAAGCGCAGCCCAGGCAGAAAGCCCCTGCTTTCTGACAGGGTCAACTACAGTGGCGGCACTGGCCTAGCAAGGCTCTGGCTCCTGAGTACAAGTTTGAGCCCTCTGGAGGTAGGCAGGGACCCAGGCTTCTCACTCCCAGCCTATGGGGCGCTGTACCTCCTGGAAGCAGGAAGTCATCACAGAGGAAGCCCACCCTAGTTTGTATTCAGAGAGGACCCAAGCCTCAGCCTCCTCACTTCAGTCTAGAAATGACATTTTTGCCTCAGATACCATGGCTTACATGAGTCACCTTCAGCGGAGGATGAGCTCCCTGAATGCTGGCACCAGATGTTGGAGTAGAGCACAGGTGCTATCTGGGTTTAATTTAGAAAACAGAGTCTGGACAAGAGGGATGGGCTGCTTGTGTCCACACTCCCATGCACACAGCACTGAACTCAGTGCAATGGAGCAGAGAAAATGGGGCTAGAAGAGCCCCCACCCCCCACCCCTGGAAGGCAGAAGTGCCACACTTGTCCTCATCACTGTCACCACGCAGGGTACCACTGTGCAGTGCAGTCGGGAGACCGGGCTTCTAGTGCAATTTCTTCCTTGATTAATTAGCTCTGTGACTCAGCAAGCCACATCACTTCTCTGGGCCTCAGTTTCCTCATCTGTTTAAAAAAGGACATCTGGCAACCGAGTAATGCTCAATAAATGCTCAATAACCGGATCACAGTAGACTGAATGGCTCTTAAAGGTGCAGAATAGCTATTTGTAGGATCTTAGACTCCTCAGGCAAGAGTGTGGTTAGGCTGGTGTGGAGGAGATGTGGGACGTGTGCGCAGGTGCAGCAGCTCTGTGGACACAGCAGACACAACCCCTTCTCTCTGCCACCCAGATGGCTCTCTGGGGCTCTTATTCTGCTGTCAGTCAGAATAATTAAAGTCAGGCGGATAAATGCTGAGGCCCCAGGGTCTGGTGGGAGGAGTGAGGTCCTCCCTGCCAGTAGAAGACAGGTAGTGGTATGGCCAGGTTCAGGAGAACTCAGAAAGGGCACTGCCCTGGAAGCCCTTAACTTACAACACAAAGGCTGGGGGAGGAGCCCATGCTCAGCCGGGACTCATCAACTTTTCCTATGCTCCCCTCCCCAGATGGGAGCTCCATTAGGAGTTGGCTCAGCACTGAGAGTTCAGGCAGCAGATGGGACCCAGGAGTCCCCTCCTGGAGTGGGTGGCAAGGCCCACAGAGGCCAGATGGTATATATAGTGGGAAGAGAGGCTTGTATTGTTCATGATAGGTTGTCAATCCCAAAACACCTCCATTACATGCCCCCCCACCCCCAGCCTTTTACAGCCTCCTGGCTGGGGAAGACACAATCAGACCTGGATTTTAGAAAACCACTTTATTCACATTTTAGAAAAACTAGTTGGAGGACAAGGAATGGCCTTCCTATAGGATGGGAATGAGACTGACAACAGGCCAGAGAGAGAGCTTTGGGAGGGAAGACATCAGGGAATGGAGGCCTTGTCTTCCTCTCTGTATGGGGGCAGGACAAATAAATTAAATGACAGTAGACAGAGGGAGAGAAGCTGGCTGGAAGACAGTCAACACCTGTGAGAAATGGAGAGAACATGGAGTAGGCTAAGGAGAGAGCCAAATGGGCTCCCTCTTTGCCCTCCCCCTGCTAACAGGACACTGCAGGGCTCAGCTGGCTGCTGGTCTCCCAGGCAGGGGCCCCACAGCAGAGCAGCTCAGCTCCTCAGCTCAGCACTGGGAAGCTGAGGAAGACAAGACTTAGGGTTCCTGTGCCTCACCTGGGAAGGGAGGGGTCACCGTTTCCGTAGCCTCTTCATGAAGCAGCAGGTAATGGTGGCAAGGACACTAGCGCCAGTGACCAGGGCCACCCCTGTACCCACCAACAGGGGCACAAGGAGAGTGTCCAGAGCTGGGGGAGAGAGGAAGGCTGGCTCAGAGGGATAGCCACCCTCACCCCTGCTGTCACCCATGTCCCCAGACCCTCCTCCACAGGCAGCCGTCCCTGCCCACCCCTGCCCTCTCAGCACTCAGGTCAGCAAGAACCCCAAACACATGCATATTGAGGGGCTCTTCCTGTGAAGAGAGAGAGGGTGGCAATAGAGATAGAAAGGGAGAACAAGGCAGGGAGAAGCAGGTGGGGCGGAGTCACTCACCATGCGTGTAGGGGTAGACTGTGACAGGCCCCGAGCGGGCACTGCCGGCCTGGTACCAGCTGTAGTCCGCATGCTGCACCCAGGCGCTGGGGGCGCAGTGGTACACGCCTTCGTCCTCAGGCCCCAAGCTGTGCAGTCTCAGCCGATGGCTCCTGGGTCCCACCAGCTCCACACTGACAGGGCCTCCTCCAGGCCGGTCCCCCAGCTCTGCTACACCATCCTGGCCTACTCCACCCACCAGCTGGGCAGGGGCAGAGCTCAGGTGCCCCTCCTCTAGCCGTTCTACCCACCAGCTAGCAGCCAACCGCAGCCCTGGGGGGCCACCCCGCACAGAGATATTACACAACAGAGAGGCTGTCTCCCCCCGGTACACTGTGCCCCCTGCCAGCCATGCCACGGCCTCCAGCACCACACCTGCAGAGCAAGGACATGGAGATAAAAGATGAAGGGTCAGGGATCATGGAGTCAGGAAATGCTTTACAAGCCCTGAACCCTGTTCAAGGCCCCAAACCCCTTACCTTCCTCCCGCACATGCACAGGGAGAGGCCGTGAGCGGGCACTGGCTGCTTCACGAAGCCGGGTCCCAGATCCTCGAACATAGGCTTTGGCCAGGCAGCGGTAGGTGCCTGCATCACCAGGCCTGGCTGCCTCCAGCCGTAGCCGGTAGGTTCTAGATGCCACCTTCTCCATGGCAATGTGACGGCCCTCATAGCCAGGGCCCAGGCTGCCTACACCCTCTGTGTCCAGCTGGGCCACCAGGCGGCCGGGCCCAGGGGCCCCTGCAGGTGCCATCTCCCAGCCCACGGAGTAAGCAGCGTGACGGCCAGCCGGGGGCAGTGCCCCTGACACATTGCACAGCAGTTCCAAAGGTTCCCCTGGGCCAATCCGACGTTCACCAGGCCCCACTGTCACCGCCAGCTGGCTGGCTGAAATACAGGAGAGGGAGAGTGGTCACTGAAGGATGGACACAGAGGTGTCTAATCCCCTCACTTGCAATGTCTTCCTTGACAGCAGCCATCTCCTGTCTTCTCCTCACTAGGTGTGGAGAAAACACCCAGGGGCCCAAATCTCACCCTTCAGCCTTAGCCCTCCCTTCTCCATACTCAGCTTCTGAGCAGAGAGCACCAGTCATGGGTAGTGAGGGAAGAATACCAATAGAGCTGCTTGATCTATGGAAATGAGTTCCCAGGAGTGAGATTAATGCCCGTGGTGCCCACTGAGCCAACCCTCTCCCACAGAGGGCTACATGGCACTCACACAGCGTCTGCACATCCACATGAGCCAGGACAGCCCTCTTCTCTGCAATCTGGGCCCAGCTGCCATCAGGATCCTGAATCCACTCAGCAGCAGTGCAGTGGTAGGTGCCCGCATCTCCAGCCTGGGCGCCCCCCACCACCATGCGGTAGCGATCAGTTCCTTCCTTGCCCAGCCGCAGCTCTCCAGCAGCCAGCCGCTCTGCATAGGGAGCTCCAGCCTCCACAGCCAAGTCAGACCGCAATCCCACCACTTCCTGCAGAGTCGCTCGCCCCACTGGGGCCTCAGGAACAGCTCGTCCAAAGGACACTGCCAGGTGGGTGTGCTCCTGTGTGCTCGTCTGCGCCAGGCAGCCCAGTGCCAGCTCCTGCCCCTCGTGGACTGTCAGGCGTGGGGGTGACGTTGCAGCCTGGCGGCCTCGGGGTCCTGGAGGAGCAGCAGACACCTGCAGCATATCTGGAAGAACTGAAGGGCACAGGTGGAGTGAGGGAAGGCTGGGAATCCATGGTCTTTTGTGACTTTTTCCTGTGTACAATCTACTTCCCTAAACAGACTGTGAGCTCCTAGAGGGCATAGATTGCATGTGGTTATTAATTCTTCTGCAACTCATTGGTGCCAAGCACAGTGCTGGGTACACCAAGGCGCTCAATAAATATTATTGAATTCCACAAAACCAACCTACTGTCTCTTGCTCTTAAGTCTGAGACAGCCCTGTTTGAAATATAGTCAGTCAAGGACCTCTGTCTTCCTTCTGGAAAGACTTAAGAATGTGAGAATGTCACAAGGTCTACCTTGTACCCTAACTCTCCACAGGTCTTAAGTCCTCCACAAATAGAGTCCACTCCATCCATCAGGCTTCCTATCCTGTCTGGGATTGGAGGGGATACTGGGCAGCTGAGCATCCTTCCCATTCTCTCAGGAGAGATGCTAATACAAGAAGAGCAATGGACTGCACCAGAGACCTGGGTTTGATTCCAGGCAAGGCACTGAATCACCAGGTGACTGAGGCAACACCTTGGGCTTTGAGTTCCTCAAGAGCAAAATCTGAGGGAAGGATACATAAGTAATGCCCCCTCCCAAACACACACACAAGGGTGTGGCCCCACCCCAGTCCAGGGTCCAGTACCTCTCAGTTCCACTTTGCCACTGTAGCTTCCAAGGTAGCGGGTATCCGTGGACGGAGTATAGCACTCATAAATGCCAGCATCTTGGGCCTGCAGGCGAGTAATCTTGAGGACTGCAGCATCACCCTGTAGACGCTGCACCTGCACTTCACCAGCGGCCACTCGGGGCCCAAAGATAGCATAGGAGAACTGGGAGTCCCTAGTACTGATGATGCCCAGAGCAGCTTCTGGCGCCTCCGGCCTGTACAGAAACCACTCAAAGTCTTGCTGGGCAGGGCCCTCATAGCCACTCACATTGCAGGAGATGGTGACAGCTGTGCCAGCCACACGGTACAGAGGCCCCTTGGGGACCAGCACCTCCCGGGCACAGCAAGTGACTCCTGCAGGGAAAGGCAGAAAAAGTTCAAGGTGTCTTGCTTCTAAACCCAGGCTCAATACCACCAGACCATTCTTAACTACTGCCCTTGAAAAGAAGGGAAACCTAGAAGATCTGGGTCCTGTTCTGAGAATAGGGAAGGGATGCTGGGACCTAAGACGCCTGGGTATCCAGGAGGTGGCATAGGCCCAGGTTTGCCTCGGAAACTAGCGCTTTTGTGTTAAAAAAAATCCTAATTCCACCTGGTTTCCAGCTATACATCTCCCCCTACCCCATTCCCTCCTCCAAGTCTGTCATCCTTACATTGGAGCTTAGTCGTGAAGAGAGTTCTGGCTAAGGGATTCTCACTCCTCCTTTGCTGGCAGGGAGCTGTCAAATCTTACTAAGCAGGGCTCCCTGGCTTAGCTGTGTCACCTGGGCCAGACAATGGAGCCAGCGGCTCGCTCTGGACAGGGCACCACCACAGTCTATGCTCTCCAGACAATGCCCTCCCCGCTCCAGCTGTGCCATGAGCTCATTGCTTTTCTCACCCCACAGGGCTGCATGGGCAGCTGGGGTTTCTGGGGGCAAAACCCAGGCTCTGCCCTAGACTATTCCCCCCCCCCCCCGCCCCCCAAGGCCTGCCAGCCTTCTGGCTAGCCCGGCTGATGAATACCCCTCAACAAAAGCTATCATTTGAATAAGGTTCCTTCTCTACAGAGAGGCAATAAGCCTCCATCTGGCCCTTCCAATCACTTTCATTTTCACCCCACTCTAGCTGTGGGCCCCAGCACATTGCTCTGAATGCCTAGGAAAGCTCAGTTCTTCCTTCTCTCCATCCTTTCATAGCTACCACTAGATGAGATCACAGAACCCCAGAACTTAAAATGGCTGCATCCGCCCTTTTCCCCATCTTACATCAGAAGTCTGATGCTTTGACTAAGATCTGGTTGTCCCTGAGGCCCCCACACACCTTGCAGGAGTGCAACATCAGGGAGGGAATCTCACAGGGAGGTCTGAGGTACTGACCTCAGGGAACTGTCCATAGGCTTCATAACCCTGTCTGCCTCTTCCCCAGTCACAGGAAGAACTCATGGGCCTTTGGCCAGGACACAGACTGCGAATCAGGATGTTTCTGGCTCCACCCCTACCCCCCCAGCACTTTACCCAGGGATGTTTCTGGCTCCACCCCTACCCCCCCCCCCCCCCAGCACTTTACCCTGGGACTGATACTTTCTGCTCCCAAGCCTCAGTTTCAACATTGGAGAAGTGAACTTCCAGCTGATGGTGAGTCAGTGTGTGATTCAGGGCCTCTGCTCCAGGCACATTTCATAATCAAGGTGATAGCCAAACTGACATCTTCCCTCTGCCTTGGGGCTAATCTGCTCCTGGCTCCACTACTGCTGATGCTTAGAGATCCCCATGGGAAAGTCATCCCACAGTCCTAGGGAATAAGCTACCACACAGCTCTCTCCTGAGCCAAGCCCCTCCTGTGTGAGCACAGAGGCTGCCTTTGCCGTCAGATCTGGGTTCAAATCCTAGCTCCAACACTCACTAGATGCACTCTTGGGCTTCATTTCCTCATTTTCCTCATCCACAGAATGAATGTCAGCGCTGTACGCAGGGCTCAGAGCCCAGCAAGCTCCTCTTCTATCCCTGTGCACCACCCATCCTGCCCCACCTCCTCTACAGCTTCTCTCTGCGCCATGATACCCACTGGGGAAAACCCAGCAAATACTAGGCAACCAGTCCCCACAGCTCCTTCCTATGGCACATCCCTCTGCCTCTGGCCCAGGGCTCCAGAGACAGAGCCCTAGTCCTAGCCCCAGGGGGTTCTGGGACCTGCGGCAGGAAGATTCTGCTTGGCACTGGTCTACAGAGGAGACAGCAGGGAACCCTGAGCCTCTGCCTGGACTACAGCAGTCCTGGCTCCTCACTGTCCCCCCGTCTCCTCAAGCTGAACTCTTTTTCCAAGGGTTTCAATTCCTGACAACTGTCCTACCTGGAACATCTCCAGGCCACAAACAATTCCACTGTCACCACCCCCATGCCTCCGTGCGAGGCTGGTCCTGCACTCTGCCACAGAGATCTTCCCCATGAGAGGCACAGGGTGCTTCCAGATCCTGGGCTCTGGCTCCATGGAGCCCGGGTTCTTCTGAGACAGGCTGAGGCTAGCGGGGTGTGACAACCAGACAAGTTACCTCTGGGAGAGGGGAAAGGGGGCATAGAGGGATGGGCCCAGGGTGGAGTTGGGGCTGCGAGAGGGAATCTCAGATGATGAAGCGTATGGGGAACAATTAGGGGAGACTTACTTCAAAGACTGTGGGCAGAACCAGCCCCTGGGCCTCGGGCCAGCTGTGGGGCAATTATGAAGACCGACGGGCAGGCACTGCCCACGCAGGGCAGGCACCCAAAGCCAGGCCTGGAGCTGAGTGTGGGGCAGAAGGAGATCGTAGCATTTGGGCGCAGCAGCCCCAGGACCAGGGTCTGACGTCTGAGAAGACGGCCCAGCGCCACAGGTCTGGCAGCGCCGGGGCAGCACCCCGGGGGGTCCTCCCTGTGCCCCCCCCGACCCGCACTCCGGGTCGAGGACGCCCCCATCCTCCCCAAACCTGGCTCACGGGCGGCCGCAAAGGGAAGAGAGGCGCCGAGCCCGGGGAGGCTGGAGGCACACCTGGCTGGGGAGCGGGGAGAGGCCTTGGAGCCCCGGTGCTGGGAAGGCGGGCTGGCTGCACGCCCGGAGGCAGGCACCTGCCGGGCGGGGCCGGGACCCGGGCCGGGCCGGGCGGGGACGCGGCTTACCCAGCATTAGCAGCAGCAGCGGCGGCGACGGCAGCGGCGCGGGGCCGGGGGCGCCCATCCTGCGCAGCCGGCTCTGGGGAGGCTCGGGGGGCGGCGCAGGCTCGAGGGCGCGCAGGGGCGCAGGGGGCGCATGCCCAGGTGGGGGGCAGGAAGTGGAGCGGCGAGGCGTGGACGCGCGGTGCACCGCCGAGCGGCAGCCGCCAGCTCTCTTCCCCCTTCCCTCTCTTCCTCTCCCCCCTCCCGCGGCTTTCCCTCCCGCCCGCCGCAGCTCGGGAGACCATTCCCGCCGCGCCCCGGCCCCGGCCCCGCCCACACCCCGGCTGACTCGCGGCCCGCTAGACTCCGGCCCCGGCTCCGCCCCAGGCCCCGCCCCGGGCTCGGCCCGCCCCAGGCCCCGCCCTGGCCAGACTCGGCCTAGCTGAGGCTCAGTCCCCAGGCCCGCGTGGGACCAGCTGACTGCACCTGGCCTCCAGAACGCACTTTGCTCCACACCTGCAGACTCTTCCCCCAGGAGGCAGGTGCCAAGCCACAGGCACTGGTCAGCTGACTGTCGCCATGAATTCTCAATCCAAGTCTGCGCTCAGTCCTCAAACCTTGTTGACTTGGAGAAGGGGGGACGGGGGAGGAGGGGGGGACCCAGTGGGCTCCTGGACAGGAAGGGTTTGGGCCAAAGGGTCCTTCAAGCTCCCCTCAAAGGCCACTAGAGACCTTGCTTGCTCCACTGCTGCGGGCAAAACCAAAGGCCAATTGGGTTAGGAGGGTGAGCAGTCCAAGAGTTATTTCCTGGCTGGATGATGCTGATCCACTTGCTCAATTCCTCCAACTCAATTTATTTCTTACCCAATCTCCTCCACCAAATGAACTGTGAAATCCTTGACATTTACTCATAGGGTTACCGTGCTGATTAATTGAGGAAATGTATGTAATATGTTTAGCACAGCATAACTAACATTAAATAGGAGATGGGATTGTTTTGTTTTTGAAGTATTATGTAGTGTTTTCTAAGTTTTAATTTAGGCAAAGGACTCTGCCTCAGTGAGAAGAAATGGACACAGCTCTCTGTTGGGAAGTGTGGGGTTTGGCCTGGCCATGGGAGAATTGAAAAAGCATCCCTTCTAGAGCTCTGTCTTTCTCAGTACTATAAAGCAGGTGGGGACTGGGGTGGGCTCGGAAGGGCAAGGCCAGAACGAGGTGAGAGAGCCAGGACTATACAAATGGCTGTCTTTGGGAGCTCATCTAGCATTCTTCACCTCTGCCCTCCCTACCTGCATTGCTCTTCCCTTCTACCTCCCTCCCCACTTCCCACCCTCTACCTCCTCTTTTACAAAGAAGGAATATGAGGCCAAGAGAAGAGAAGTGGTTCAGGCCAGATCAGACATGCTTCAACTTCCTGTTCTCAGAGGAGGTGTTCATGCAATTATCACTCAAAGCCACCTTCCTCCACCACAAAGAAACATGGGGAAGAACGTTTGGGACCTCAGAGGAAGTCAGAAGTCCAGGCCTGACCTCGCAGGACTGCTCAAAGAACAGAGCAGCAGGGTGCCAGCTGCTTCCCATGTCCATATATCACAACCTGGTTTTTTTTTTCCCACCCATTTCTCTATTAGGGGTGGGGAGAAACCACTGTTTTTTCTGCCATGGGACATTTGGATATTTGTAAACATTTGCAGTCATACAAAATTATCAGTGCAAGCAGTGCTGTCAGTCAAAATACAAACAAGAGGCTGGCATGTGAGTCTGTCCATTCACAAGCCTTGTATGGCCCCCGGGACAGATATTCACCATACCTGCATCATCTACAGGCTCCAAGCCATGAGAAAATGAAGTCACAGGGGAGACATTGGAGAAAAAGCATTCTCCCTTTTTGGAGTTGAGTGGAGAACACCTTCCTGATGCTTGAGGCACTAACTGTCATCCTCATAATCCTAGATGCCATTTGTAGGATGCTTACACAGTGAGGCCCTTTTGGATGGTACAGTCTATTTTACAGGATGATGTCATTTGACCGTTTAATAGAAGAGAAACACTTGGTTCTGAAGGGTTATCTTGCCCCAGGGCACACAACTTTTAAGTGGCCCAAGTGTAACTTGAGTCCAGATTTCCTGTGCCTAAATCTTCCTACGCACTACTGTTTCTCCTCCCAAGCCTCTCCACCCTGTAAACTCATTCACAAAATGCATACTGATGAGGCGAGACCTTGTGCTAGGCACAGGTAGACAAAGCCAGCATGTTCTGCTTCCCTCAGGCTGTAGTCATTGTATTAAGGGAGACAGATGGTAACTAAGTAATTCCCAGTCCTCAATTTGATCATTATGAGGGACCCTATCTTAATCTATGTCTTGTATTGAAAACAAGCAGATGGCAGATAGAGTTTGAGGACTAGGTTGGTGTCTCCAGAAGGGTTGAGATAGTAGAAAAATATAATTTCTTCAACAAGCCCCTCCCCAAACTGTGGATTCCCAAAATGGCCAGCAGAGGGCACTCAAAGCACAGAACTGACTCAGCTTATGTAATTAGGAAAATTGGGGGAGGAGGAATGAGGCTTGTCACACACAGACACATGTGCCCTGTGGAATGGAGAGAGGTGTCACAGAGAAAGACACCCTCACACCCAATCCTCACCAGCTTGCTACAGAGAAGGACTGTATCAATCATGAAGCCTGAAGGACATGCTAGTACACGCTTACCACACCCACAAGAAAATAGGCTCCTCTAGCACAGAGGCTGGTCCCTTGGGATGGAGCAGGCAGTGAATGGAGAAAGGGAGCCTGTCCGTGAGCCTCAATGTCACCTTGGGATGTGGAGGGATTTGGAGGAGCTGTGGATACAGTAGTGCCCATCAGGACCCTGGCACCAAGCTGGACTGTCACCAGACCATCACTGGCTTCCCACACACCTTCTGTGTACTACCAGGTGTGGATCTACATCAGACACCAGACTTGTTCCACATGCTTATTTAATTCATTTAGCCTCCAGATGACATACGTACAAGCACCTAGGTGGCCCTGAGGTGTTATGAGTATCATTAAAAATAATTAAGACCTATGTTCTGCCCTTAAGCTGTTTTTAATCTGGCTGTGATGTGTTACACTTCAGTCACAACCGAAGAGACACTGCTCTCAGCAAAGAATACAAAGGAGGACCATTTAACTATTCTGACCTGGATGCAGAATATAATCTTATTTTTCTTTTCTTTTCTTTTTTTATTGTGAAAATACTGTACAGAGGGGTTACAATTACATGGGCAAGATAATGAGTACATTTCTTATCAAGCATTGTAGCCTCCTCCTTTGTTTCCCCTTCCCATCCCTTCCCATCCTCCCCCCACCCCCCCTCAATCTTCCTCCCCTCCCCCCCCAAAGTTGTAAAGTTCGTTTTCGACGTAATGACTTGTACATCTCATTGTTGCAATAGATTCACCTGTATCCCTATTTAAACGATTTGTTTTTCCCCTTCCCCTCCACAAATTATACCGACATCAAATACAGTGAAAGCAGGGGTTATACCGTGGGAGAGGGACATACAAAGCAACAAGACATAATCTTATAAATATGTTAGAAACAAACGCATGAAAGAAAAAACCATTTGAATACATATCTTAGGGTTCATTTCCCTAACATCACCAGAATATGATCTTATTTATCTTCTGTATTCCTCTCAGAAAAGAGAGGCAGGGTTAATGGATTACTGTCCAGATTTGAATTTGAACCTAGGATTGTCTAACCTTTGTTCCTTTTGTTTTGTCTTTTGGTGTCCATGCTGGGGCTTGTACTCTTGCTTGGCTTTTTTGCTTAAGGCTAATGCTCTACCACTTCAGCCATACCTCTACCTCTGGATTTTTAGTGGTTAATTGGAGATAAGACTTCAGGTTTCAGGTTTCAAATTTCAGCCTCCTGAGAAGCTAAGATGGTTTCCTAAAGGCAAAATATCCAGCCCAGAACACACAAACACACGTATAGACACAGATCTAACTACTGAGAGAAAGTGACAAACACCACAGCCATTAAGATCCATGGAGACATGTAGGCACACTCTCCCAGAGCACGCCTGCTCAGAAGCATCCTTGTGTGGCATTCCAACAGTGGGTGGCAGTTGGCACCAATCTTGTGAGTACAGAAATGACAGGACCCCCTTAATGGTCAGGGTCAGGTGGTACGAAGGACCCAGTGGTACTGTGGTTCCTCTATTACTGAACAGCCATGCCACCCCCTTAGCATAGGGCTAGAGACAGGGGCAGGAGTGTGGGCTCAGCCTGCATCAGTTCAGGAAACACACTCATGCACACATGTGCACGTGTGCACACGCATGCGCGTGCACACACACACACACACACAGAGCCACCATGCAGATATGAACAAATGCCTGGCCTAGGGAAGGTGGGAGGGGGGGAAGTGGGGTGTGGCTCATAGAAGGTAGAGTGGGAAGATGGCTTTGTGGTTCTCTGAGTTGTCTGGATATTCCTGATGTCTGTGGTTTGTCTTCGCTCCTGTTTTAGTTTGGTATCTAGGTGAGGGAAGAGTTTTGCTATATCTCTGGCTCTCTGCTTGAAGTTTCTCAACAATTCAGCAGTGAGAACCTTTCCTTTTGGAAGGCTGTAGTGTGGGTCAGGGCTTTATAAATAAACACATACAAGGCCAGAACATTCTTGTGTGAGAGTCTTAGCTCTCCAGGAAGCAGGGGTCTATACACATTAGCCTCCCTCCTCTGACAAGTCTGTTCCCTAACCCTCATGGGGTGGCCTTGTGATTACCCTCCAACCCCCAGCCAGCTGAGAGAGTAGCAAAGGGCTGAGGTAACCCCATTGAGCGGCATGTCTTCTCCCCCTCGCCCCTGGAAGCCCTAAGGAGCAGGTGAGCAAGGGTGGGAGCGGGTAGCTGTTTGGGTAGATGAAGATCTGTGGGCTGAGTATTGTAGTTGAGCCTCAGGGCATAAGAGATGGTTAGCATCAGGTGGCTGCCTCTGAGTCAACAGGTTGAGCAAGAGGTGGATTTAGACAACAGGTCATTCACAGGTTTGTGTGCCCCAGCTTGAGGGAGGTAAGAAGTCTGCTTTGTGCTGAGAGCTGCACACATAGCACATTCACTCTGCTCATCCTCTCCACCATCCCAGGAGCCAGACCCTGTGCTGATATCCAACAAAGATGGGGAAAAGAGGCACAGAGACATCATGTAAGTTACAAGGTCACAGAGCTAACGTAGTACCCAAAC